TGAGCCTTAAATACCCATTTTCGAAAATAATAATAATAATAATAATAATAATAATAATAATAATAATAACAACAAAAGTTTCGGGCATCTTAAGTAGCATGCTAGAATAAAACTCTCACTAGCAAAGTCCGTAAGTGACTAATTTGCAGACCGCCTTTGAATGAGATAAACTTCTGTTACCAAGGTCTCTCGCTACGGAGTTACGGACAAACTCTTCAGTCACCCGGCTTTAAATATCACAACTCTATCGCTGAGACCGTTCTAACTCGAGTTATAACCCTTTAATGTTTGATAAGCCACTGTATAAGCGCCATCTTTGAACGTTTAGATAATTTTTTTGTCTTTTTCAAAAAGACTGATACTTCTTCAATTTAATCGGCTATTTATCAAAATTCCCTCTTTTCTACTTCCTAAAGCCAGTCTCCGGTGGCCTTAAGTAAGTTTGTCAGAACAGTCTAAAAGCTGTTGTGCTTGTATCAGAGTACACCATAAATGACCTAGGCGTCCAGGAGGGGGCGTTTGATAGATAGCAGGCGTTTATTCTCATAACTGCAAGAAGCTCAACAAATCTAATACGCTTTAGGCGAAAATACCAAGAGAGGTTAAAGATAACGGAATATCCACTCCATCAATTGATACGTCTAGGCCGTCTAGAGATCCATATCGCTCTTTCGAATCCCAACATCGATGTCAGAATGTTCGCTCAGGGCCAGACGTATAGTTAATCGATAAACCGATATCGACAATAATCGATAGTAATCGATATCAGTCATTGATGAACATCGATTTCTGATCGATAGAAATCGATACTGAAAAAAGCTGACTTCGATTAATATCGATGATTTTCCGATAGAAATCGATAATGATTTTTAATCAATCGATTCTTGATTAATCGGCGGATTAAATCGATTAATATCTATGATATCAATTGATTCCCGGTATCGATATTTTTTGACTAACCACGTCTGGTCATGGTTATTGTGTTGCTATCATTAGTCTATCCTTGCTTTGAAATTGGCATTGAACAAGATGAAATACGCAAAGCCTTGCTAATCAAGTGAGAAACTAAATGAATCGAATGATTTTGCTCCTCTTCGCTTATTCCTAGTATTTTGGAGGAATTCTCATAGGGGGCGTCGACTAATAGACAGGGGGCGTTTATTAGAGAGGGGCATCTTATTCAATTTTTAGAGCTTAGAGGGGGCGTTTATTAGATAAGAGGCGTTGATTTGGAAAAGGGCGTCTACGACGTCATTTACGGTTTGCACGTTACTTTTCTACTGCCAATGTTGTCAAGGAAATTTCCTCTCCAAACCCACTGTAGCGGCTTCTTGCAATCACCGACGACACTGACTCACGGTGCTGATGTTGTATGTGTTGTGGTTCAATTTTAACCTACAATCATCGTCAAAAATGTCGGGAAGGTTACCAATTTTCACCTTTTTTGTACTTGTCCCCCCCGCCCCTGGATCAATGTTGGACAAAACTAAATTGTTTTTGTGCGTAATTGTTGTTACATGTCCCAACATTGAATAGGGGGCGCGGGGGGGATTCAGGAGAAGAACAAATAATCTTTTTTAAACATAGACATAAGGCGTATGAAATGGAGCAATAATTTTGTTAAGTTATTCCACCTTCCCAACTACTTTTGTCCGTGATTGTAGGTTGAAATTTTACCTCCCTTTGTTTTGAGGTATGGTAATATAACAACAACAAGTTTATTCAGTATTACCATTTTGTACAGGTGTTACCGATTAAAATAACAATAATAAATAATAATGAAGAATAATATACAATAAGGAGTTTAAAACAATTGGAAATTGGAAATAAAAATTAAACCAAGGATAAATATGCAATAATAGGAGTCAACTGTATTTGGTATGGTTTCACGTACAAGAAGCGATAAATATCTGAAAGTTCCTTGTAGTAATGCTTGATCAATAACCATCTTAAAATCACCGAAACATTCTGGTGCTGCTATCGTTGTAGGGGATGTTTGAGGTGGGGGATGGGGTCGGGGTAACTTTCACCAGCGACGGAATTGTGACGTCATTTGTCGAGGTCATTTCAGGCCCATAAGAAATACCCCTTGTTTTGCATTTATACAGAATTATAATCACCGGATTCGCTTTCATATAATGGAGAATTTTTTATGAGCCCTACCTGATGCAGCCTGTAAGCAATCTCTTGACCAACACAATCCTCCATAGTGGCTTTGTTGTTTAGAAGTTTGCGATGTCGAATTGACTGAAATCATTTTTTCCTCTGGTTGAGAATTTCTATCGCGCTCGATCAAGTAAAGACTTAGTAACACAAGACAGCACAGGACCAGCAGAACGATTACAAGCACTAAGCTCTTAACAAGCATCGAACAATGTTTGCTTTTCTTCCTCTCCACTGGCAAAGAACTTGATCCTGATGATCCCTGTCTCTTTTTCGGCTTCTGGTAAACATCACGCATCTCTACCGTTAAATTGACAGGATCCATAACTTCCAACCTTAATTTCCACGGTCAAATTAATCACTCACTGCAAACTACTAAAAGAACTAGGCAACAGATTCAAGAAATAATACACAGTTTCAGTGCGACGACACCACTTCCGTTGAGTTCAACCTTATTTATCTTGCTATCTTTTCATGTCCTCACGTCGCCAGATGACGTCATGGCGCCCTTAATTAATATATTAACAGATGTATCCGGAGTTTAGTGTCTACGTTGAAGAGGTTTTGTTGACCTTCTGCTCTTAAATACTTAAAAATAAAAACAAGTGTGGTAAAACGATTACGTCACGAACTAAGCCTCATCAGGCTTCTTTAAATTTTTCATCGTCTTGCTTTAAGTCAGGCTATTTCAAAAATTATTATTTCGAGAGTTAAGAGACTTTGTTACTTTTGTGTGGGTCAACAGAATCAGGCTCGGTAATGAATCCATTATTGTTGAAATGTTGTCACAACATTTTCTTATTTCTTCTTGGAGAGTCTTTTGATAACCAGCAATTGTTATAAATGTGTCTTGCAAGGCAGTATTTTTATCTCCTGTGAGATCGACTTGTGGCAAGTCTATAAATCTCAGTGAAATCTAGCGTTTTTAAAATACGTATCTGTAGTGAGTTTTCTATGTTGTTGTTGTTATAGTATTTTCTATTTCTTCACTTTTACGTTACGTTATCTGTTGCTGTTTAGTTATGCTTTCGTACCGGAAATCTTTATGTCGAAGATGAAGAAGAGTAGTTAGTTGTAGCCTCCAACGCAGACATTCTTAGGGGGTCGTCACGCGTTCCTGCCCCAACGCAGGAACGCGTGTAGAACCCTAAGAACGTCTGCGTGGGAGGCTAAGTTAGTTGCCGATGCCGTAGAACCCGGTAACCTATTAAAGCAGAGGTTTCAGATATCCCAGCCAAGGTTATCAGGTATTCAGTACAAAACACTGTACCACATTCATTTGACTATATCTAACCAGATAAGAACGCACCTGTCCCTAATGAGGTCCAAGTGTCCTCGAGTACCAGTGATTAACAGCAGGAGGATCATATGATTTTATCGCCCCATGCAAGGGAATGGGGATTCCGGAATCCGGGAAATTGGTGCTCGTGTAATCCGGAATCCTGAACTTTGGATTCCAGAATACAGCTCAAGGAACCCAGAATCCACTAACGATTGAAATTTAGAATCGAATCTTTCAGCTCCACTGACAGACGGGAATCCAGTACCTGGAATCCGGAATACAGGGTATGAATATGGATCCAAGACTATTAAATCTGAATTTCCTTACATGGGGCAAATTTTCACACTCAAATGGTCTACATTTGGTATTGTTAATACATTAGTGTTAGGCCTGTTTCGGAACGGCAGTGGCACGACGTTTGAAACCAAGTCGAGCTACTGCCGTGTAGCATGCCATTCTTGGGTTGCACGTGACGTCACCAAAAATCAAACTAAGAAACTATCGATTCTTCTGAGTTTCTGACTTTCACGAGGTATTACAGTACCTAAACACCTTTACATAAACAAATTTTTGGTTCGAAAGGGTTCTTCGTTTTGCGAGAGGGGAGGCATGAATTTCCAGGCTTTTGCGTGACGCGGCATTTAGCTGGCGGCCGGGAAAGCTCTTATGTGGGTTAAAAACATTACCGATTTTGGGAGATTTTGCAATCTAAACATTCCTTGTCTCAGAATAAATATTACTGTAATCCTTATGGGTTTCCCAAGCGAAGCATTCACGCATTAGTAGGAATACTCGAAAACAGATGTTTCTGTTGGTATCCGGCGGCCATATTGGTGTTCCTGAAATGGACACCAACATAGCGTTTCCATACAAAGCTTTATAAATTTAGGTAAACCGTTTTTCCCAATATCTCGCATTTGAAAAATTTCACAGACCTGATTCTTGGAAAGGGTTTTTGTATATTTATCTTTTCTCATTTCCCAGATTCTAGTCCTTCTGTATTGAATGGTTTGCATTTTTATGTTTCATTGCGTGACAGTGCAAGCCGAGAATAGCTTCAGCTGTCCTGAGCTGTACAGTTTGCCGAGCTACACGGCAGTAGCATGACTTGGTTTCAAACGTCGTGCTACTGCCGTGCTAAAGTCGAAATTAATTCGATCAATTTAGTTGGGCACGGCAGTAGAATTGGGCGCGATCCATTCAACCAAAGTTTCCGGAAATTTCGGTCCAAAACTCAATGGATCGGTTCGGTCCAACCGGAAAAGTTTCGAAAAAACAGGTCCACCTTTTGAGGTGGTCCTCTTTTCCCGGTCGGACCGGTCTGAATGTTGGTTGAATGGATCGCGCCCATTGACTCCCAATTGATATAGGCTTTGATGTAGCCGAAACCAAGTATCCACATAAAATGGTTTTGAGCCCGCGCGATATAACCGAGGGATCATCACTAAAGACTGGAAACTACTCTCACTATCGAAGGGCTTGTTAAGGCTGACGAAACTTTGGAGTTATTTATTGATTTCCATTCACTTGAGCTTAATTTTTGGATTTTCCCAGTATGCCAACAGTGGATGTCAAGAGAGAACTGTTATTTAAAGCTATTGGCAAGGAATTTAGTGAGTAACACCCATTGCTAAGGAGCACACGTGGTAGAAACATTGACTAACTTGCCTTTGTATACCATTGAATTATTGTTATCTTATTTTAATAGCTGATGAAGAGTTTGAAGAACTGTGCTTTGATTTTGGACTTGAATTGGATGAGGTGGTAAGTTTGTGTTTAAAAGCTTTGTTATTAAGGATCTAACATTGTAGACTCTTCTGGAACGAGAAGACACTCATTACTACAGACTACATAGATAGACACTCGTGCCATAAACCTTCGTCACGTAGGTAGTTTCCGGCCTTTGGTCACCCAAACTTTGCCGTTAGGTTAAGAGTTTGTAGGCTTACTAGATATGTTGTTTATGGCGTCTTTTTAACATAGACTCAATTTGCATTCAAGAAAATAATGATACAAGCACTAGCTTGTAAAAGAGTTTCTCCAAATTTGGCCAACTGAATTAGATACTAAATTAAGTCATCCAAAGCGAAGGGTGGCAAAGGGGGAGGGGTACTTATCACGCAGCATGCTGACTTATTTTAGGTCATCATGCATCATTGAGAAAAAAATTAGCCATCACAAACATCTTTGTGGGAGGCTATAAGGTTATTATGGCAATTTTTCAACCCATTGAATGAATCCGCTCTAATAAATAGTTTTCAGTGTCCTTCCTAGGTAGGATCGAGCACTAAAAGTTATTGAATGACCTTGATTTTACAAAAAAGGGTTCCCTGAAATCTGTTGTTTTTCAAATATTAACTGCTGTACCAGTATATAAACCAGTATTCACTGATCTGAGAATAGAGGTCATGAATACATGTACACACCTTATTACGTGGATGGAGCCACGGAAAAAGTCAGGCTGAAGCGAACCAACCTGTATTTAATGTTCACTTTTAATGCATTTGCTCCTAGGAATGTTGACTTAAAGTGCCTTTTGAATTAAGTCAGGGCATTTTCTTACAAACATCAGTCTATTTTATTTATTATCTGTCAAAACCTGTATTTAGTGGACACTAAAGCATTCCCATAGGGTGTCTGCTTAATACAAGTTTCACTGTATAGAACAATAATTACAAAGTGTGTTAACATATGTTACGGGTCAAATTGATTTAATTTGATTTAACCTAGGTTGATTCTCAATTTCCTTTGTTTCCTAGCAAAGAGTATAAAAAAGAAAAAAAAAAGAATATAAACCATTTCTACTTATAACAGTCAGGCATCTTAAACAACTCTAATCTGTTACTTAGCTCTATTTATTTAATTATTTAATTTAAATAGTTTTTTTTATTAGTACTGTATAACCTCCACCCACTTGTAACTGCTCTGTGGTAGTAGTCAACTCGAAAGCTTGGCTCCTTTGGCTGCCACACACTCTTTTCCTTTGTTATGTTTAATTCAATGTATAGTTAGCTCTGTTTTTTACTAGGGCTAGGAGACAAAGGAGACAAAGGAAATTGAAAATCAACCTAGCTTAAATCAAAATTAACCTACAATCAGATTTGACCTGTGACATATACACAATGGTAAATATTTTTCAGGTCACTGAAGGTGAAGAAGGAAATGAATCTGTCATTTACAAAATTGAAATTCCAGCCAACAGGTATGAATACTCTCAAGGACCAAAAAATTAAAAAAGAAATATGTGAAGCTTAGCTGGAATTTCCAGGGTAGGGGTGGTTGGGGTTAGGAAAATTCCCTGCATAGGGGAGGTACATGTACATGAACAGATATTTTCTTGAATTAAAAGTACTCGTACACTGCAAATCTGTAATATTACATAATCATGACAGCTTTAGTATTAATTTTTACTTAAAGTACATAAAATGCTCATAGAATGCTTTTGTACATTTTTGTACAAGACGATTGTTTATACAATAATTATGACGCATTTTTTTGCTTGTTGTGAAGCAACTGTTAATGTGAACTGTACAGCTGTATATATATATATCATAATTTACTTTAAAATCTCAACAGATATGATCTTCTCTGCATAGAGGGAATATCACGAGGAATTCAAGTTTTCCTTGGAAAGTGAGTAATGTTAACTGTCTTTAAGACTGAGGCCGTTGGGTTGGCACTGGAAACTGGTTTTTGTCTTAGAGTTTCAGTGTATCTCTTGTCCGTTTTTCAGGGGTACACTACAATTCTTTCGGTGGGAAAAGTTTTCCCAAAAAAGCTTAAGGATCCAACATCCTTCCCAGACTTCTCTCCTACTCTTCCTTTGAAGGAAGAGTAGGACAGAAACCTGGAATCAAGTTTGCCTGAGGACCATGAATATAAAATAATGTTATGAATGCAGGTCATCATTGAAACAAGATTTTCATTCAGGTTTTCTGGGTAAAGAGACATGACCTTTTTTGCATTAAATTTTTTGTCTGACCTGTTTGACTGAATTTTGCTCATTTGAGTATGATCCAAAAGATGTTTTCCCCTGTACAAGGTGGATTTCAAAGTGTGTTGTCTAAGGTTGTCTAAGAGCATCAAAATTGATGATGCCACTAGTACAGTCAACTCTCTCTAAGACGGACACCTTTAGGACCGGTACTAAGTGTCCGTCTTAGAGAGGTGTCCGTCTTATAGAGAGTCAAATAAAAGGAGTAAAGAAAGGCAGGGACCAACTCTTAGTGTCCGTTTTACAGAGGTGTCGGTTAAGAGAGAGTCAACTGTAGTCAATAAAAGGGATGTGCATGTACATCCTACATTAAGCCCCTTTTCAAATTGAAGCTGATGCTTATGGGGTCCCATAGTTAGAAACAGAAATACATGTATATGGCCTTAAGTGAAACTTCTATTAACAAGCACATGTCACAGGCTCGAGTTTAACAAACAATACAGTTTGTATTGGTAATTATTGATTATGTCTTGTTTGTGTACATCTAGGATAAAGGCTCCAAGATACAAAGCTGTTAATCCAGATGGGGGATTGCAAAGGTTGAAGATCTCCAAGAATGTATGTCTTGCCTCCTTTCTTGAAAATTTTATCTATATATTATTTTATATGCTGTGTACTAACAGGTCCTTTGGTAGCTCAGTGCAAAAACAAAAATCAGGTGGGAAGTTATGCAGTTTTTTTCCCTTGACAAAGCAATCAATAAGGTGGCGAACAGGTCAGCTGTTATATGACAATTTATGTGATTTCTCTAGTCTAGAATGCACACCACAGTCTTCAGATTGGGAAAGACTGTAAACATGACTAGTAAAAACTATAGCTTGGCATAATTATGTCTGTTGAATGAATTGGCGATGTTCACTGCAATTTTAATCTAGTGGCCAAAATGTTTTCTGCTTGGCATGGCAACCAAAATGGCCCTGGCCTGGAGCACTGTGGAGAGTGCATACAAGCTTGAATACCGTCTCCTCTCTCTTAACAGACACCTGTATGAAACAGACACCTAGAGTTGACCCATGCCTTTCTTACAATGACTTCCTGTAGTTCACTAGTCTCTCAATGACAGACACCTCTGATCTCTAAGGTGGACACATATGCTGGGGTGCCTGTGCTAAATGTGTCCTTCTTAGAGAAGGTCCAATTTTGAAAGATAATCTCCCTTTGAGTGTTGTATAAATCTTGTATAAATCCTGTCATAAGTACAGCTTGTAACATTAATTTTCATTGATTTGATCCTTTCTATCCTTCTTTCACTTAATTTGTCCTCTTTCATCAGACTGCTCTTGTGAGGCCACACTGTGTCGCTGCTCTGCTAAGAAACATAAAATTTACTCAGGTTTGTGCTGCTGCATACATTTTGTACCTTGGAGAATTTTCTACTTACCATACATATCTCTCATTAGCAAAGTCCATGGTCCAATCACACTTGGGCTGTAAAATGCAGGCGCTGGGAGAGTCAATGAAGATATAAAGACAGTAATTTACAGTTGTATATACAGACTGAGAAAAAGAGATTGATACAGTAAGATGTTTATGGAAAAAGAAAAAGGCACATAACAACTTAGCACTTAACACACCTTAGTATTATAATAATAATATATTGTAACAAGGGTTTATGATTGGGGCTTTTTTGTTAAGATATAAGCTATAGACTATGACTGTTGTTTATCTTTTCTTGTATAATGTTATACTGTTTTTGGCAGGCAAGTTATGATAGCTTCATTGATCTGCAAGACAAACTGCATCACAACCTGTGCCGACGTCGAAGCCTTGTTGCCATAGGAACACATGATTTTGACACCCTCAAAGGGCCATTTCTGTTTGATGCCCTCCCTCCATCAGAAATCAAGTTCAAACCACTTAATCAAGTATGTTGTGACAAGAAAATGTTAAGTAAACTAAGATTAAAAAAAAAAAAAAAAGATTTTATGGTGGATTAGTGTAGATTCAGTTATATCTTACATGTATTCTAACTATTGCTGTTGCTGTTTTTCTTCAGACAAAAGAATTTACTGCTGTTGAACTGATGGATTTATATAAAGTAAGGAAAGAACAGAAAAATTTATTTTAAAATCATCAATTTTTATGGTAACCACCCAGAAAATTATCTTTGGGCTCACCTCAAGATCAAATGGTATAGAGCGTGTTCACTTGACCTCACGGCGGCCATATTACTGTTCCAAAACAATGAAATAGCAGCCATGTTGGTGTTCCAAACCAATCCTGTGGGAGTTGAACTCTTTTGTTATGCAAAAGCTTTCTCTTGGTCCAACAAATTTGCATAGATGCTAGCCACGCGAGAGAAAATGCTCCATAATTATGTATTTGTTTGAGACCTCTCAATTACAGTTGGGGAGCAAGGGTGGTTCATTGATGAGAGCATGTACTCGCTCCTTCTGCCAGAATGAGGCAGGGCCATATTGGGTGATTTTGAAGGTGTACATGTATGGGAAGAAAAGTTAGAGTGCGGAAGTCACTCCAAGGTGGGGTGGGGGTCTGGGGGCATGTCCCCCGCCCCCTCCCCCCCCCCCCAAAAAAAAATAAAAATAAAAATAAATTTAGGGTCTAAGAAATTCCATTTCCTGGGTTTCCCGTAGGTCATTTTCAATAATTAAAATGCAGTAGTTAATATTTTTTATTTTACCCATCTCTAGCATTATAATAAAAGAATAATAGAAGGATAAAGGAAATACTCCCACAAAGACTCCAATATTACGCGAAAAATTTATCCGTTATCCCGATTTCATGATAACAATGCTTCCTGAAAGTAAAAAAGAAATATGCATGGGCCTATTTGCATATACAGTGTATGGACGCTACGTTCCTGTGTGGTCCAGGCTGAAATCCCAGCATCAACATTCAGGAACTTGAGTATGTTGTTCAGGTTCTTTTCTTTACTCTGTGAGCAAGTCCTTTTCCAGGTATGTCAGTTTTCCCCTCTCCTCAAAAACCAACACTTCCAAATTCCAATTTGATCTGGGACACACAGAAAAATGTAAAAGAGTTCTTAATAATTTCTTAGTGTTTTGTGGGTAAATTACAATTTCAGGGCCAGTGCTCTGACCACTCAGTCACCATCGTTGTTTTCAACATTGCTGTTTTTCATTTTGCAGGGAGAAAGCCATTTAAAACAGTACTTGCCAATCATAAGAGACAAACCAGTTTATCCCATAATTTTTGATGCCAATGGTGTTGTGCTTTCCATGCCACCCATCATCAATGGTATGGTGTGATAATTAGTGGAAGCATAGTGGTCAAGTGTCGGCATGTCAGACTTACAATTCAAAGATCGCGGGTTCAAGTCCAGCTCTCGCTATATGCTGGATTTGTTCTTGGTCATCCCGAGTTCAAATCCTTCTCCACATTAATTTTGTATATTATAGCCAACTGGTTGCTTCCTGCCGGCTGGGTTTTTAATCCTGTTATGCTGTATTTGAATTATTTGTTTCTAAGAATTTGAGTGGAGTGCCTTTAAACTAGCTGGATAAGCTGAGCGCACTTTCCAGTATAAACAAACCCTTAACCTTTTTGATCTTTATAATTACCATATTTATTTTCTCAACTGGTACTACCAGGTCCACAAACCTAAGACTGAAAAAAGGCTGTTTAGTTGTCATGAGAAAATCCTTTACGTTAATGTTTTTACAGATAATTACCATGAAAGTTTTTAAAAGTATAAGATAGTGCCGTCAAACCTCTTTTTAATATACAGACACCAAAATGACCCAGGTGTCTGTAGTATGGACCAAGAGAACTATCGGTAATAGCTGTCTTGAGTATGTAGAGGTGTCTATATTATGCATAGGTGTCTATGGTACATGTATGCGTAGGTGTAGACTGCAGTATGCAGAGGTGTCTGTTGTATCCTGAGGGGTTCACACTGTGCATAGGTTTCCTTGGTATGCAAGGGTGTCCATAGTTTATGCAAAGGTGTGTGTAGTAATGACTTTTTTGTATGCAAAGGTGTCCATAGTATGTGAAATGAAGAATGCAGAGGTGTCTGTAGTATGCATATTGTGTTCATAATGGAGAGGTGTCCACAGTATGAAGAGGTATCCATAGTATGCATATTGCATTCATAATGGCGAGGTGTCCACAGTATGGAGAGGTATCCATAGTATGCATATTGCATTCATAATGGCGAGGTGTCCATAGTATTCATGGAGAGGTGTCCACAGTATGGAGAGGTGTCCGTAGTATGCATATTGCATTCATAATGGAGAGGTGTCCATAGTATGTGTATTGCATTCATAATGGAAAGGGGCCATAGTATGCATGGAGAGGTGTCCACAGTATGGAGAGGTGTCCGTAGTATGCATATTACTAGGATAAAGGCTCCAAGATACAAAGCTGTTAATCCAGATGGGGGATTGCAAAGGTTGAAGATCTCCAAGAATGTATGTCTTGCCTCCTTTCTTGAAAATTTTATCTATATATTATTTTATATGCTGTGTGCTAACAGGTCCTTTGATAGCTCAGTGCAAAAACAAAAATCAAGTGGGAAATTATGCTGTTTTTTCCCTTGACAAAGCAATCAACAAGGTGGCGAACAGGTCAGCTGTTATATGGCAATTTATGTGATTTCTCTAGTCTAGAATGTACACCACAGTCTTCAGATTGGGAAAGACTATAAACATGACTAGTAAAAACTGTGGCTCGTTATAATTATGTCTGTTGAATGAATTGGCGATGTTCACTGCAATTTTAATCTAGTGGCCAAAATTTTTCTACTTGGCATGGCAACCGAAATGGCCCTGGCCTGGAGCACTGTGGAGAGTGCATACAAGCTTGAATACGGTCTCCTCTCTCTTAATAGACACCTGTATGAAACAGACACCTAGAGTTGACCCATGCCTTTCTTACAGTAACTTCATGTAGTTCACTTGACTCTCTATAAGACAGACACCTCTGATCTCTAAGGTGGACACATATGCTGAGATGCCTGTGCTTAATGTGTCCTTCTTAGAGGAGGTCCAATTTTGAAAGATAATCTCCCTTTGAGTGTTGTATAAATCTCGTATAAATCCTGTCATAAGTACAGCTTGTAACATTAATTTTCATTGATTTGATCACTTCTATCCTTGTTTCACGTAATTTGTCCTCTTTCATCAGACTGCTCTTGTGAGGCCACACTGTGTCGCTGCTCTTCTAAGAAACATAAAATTTACTCAGGTTTGTGTAGCTGCATACCTTGGAGGGTTTTCTACCTACTTTACACACCTCTCATTAGCAAAGTATATGGTTCAGTCACACTTGGGCCATAAATCCCAGGCCCGGGGAGAGTCAATGAAGATGTACCTGTAAAGACAATAATTTACAGTTGCTACAATGTATACAGACTGAGCAAAAGAGATTGATACAGTAAGATGTTTGTGGAAAAAGAAAAAGGCACATAACAACTTAGCACTTAACACACCTTAGTATTATAATAATAACAAATTGTAACAAGGGTTTATGATTGGGGCTTTTTTTTTGGCAGGCCAGTTATGATAGCTTCATTGATCTGCAAGACAAACTGCATCACAACCTGTGCCGACGTCGAAGCCTTGTTGCCATAGGAACACATGATTTTGACACCCTCAAAGGGCCATTTCTGTTTGATGCCCTCCCTCCATCAGAAATCAAGTTCAAACCGCTTAATCAAGTATGTTGTGACAAGAAAATGTTAAGTAAACTAAGGTTTAAAAAAAAAAAAAGATTTTATGTTGGATTCCTGTAGATTCAGTTATATCTTACATGTATTCTGAACATTGCTGTTGTTGTTTTTCTTCAGACAAAAGAATTTACTGCTGTTGAACTGATGGATTTATATAAAGTAAGGAAAGAACAGAAAAATTTGTTTTAAAATCATCAATTTTTATGGCAACCACCCAGAAAATTATCTTTGGGGTTCACCTCAAGATCAAATGGTATAGAGCATTAATTTTCACATGACCTTACGGCGGTTGTATTGGTGTTCCAAAACAATGAAATTGCGGCCATGTTGATGTTCCAAATTAATCCTGTTTTTTTTTTGTTCCAAAAATTTGCATAGATGCTAACCACGTGAGAGAAAACATTCCATAATTATGTATTTGTTTGAGACCTCTCAATTACAGTTGGGGAGTAAGAGTGGTACAGCGATAAGAGCATGTACTCGCACCTTCTGCCAGAGTGTGGCAGGGCGGTATTGGGTGAATTTGAAGGTGTACGCATGGGAAGAAAAGTTAGAGTGCAGAGGGGTCTCAGAAATGCCATTTCCTGCGTTTCCCATAGGTCATTTTCAGTAATTAAATTGCAGTAGCTAATATTTTTTATTTTACCCATCTCTGGCGTGATAATAAAAGAATATTAAAAGGATAAAGGAAACACTTGCACAAAGAAACCAATATAATGCAAAAAATTTATCTGTTATCTTGATTTCATGGTAATAATACTTTCTGGAAAGAAAAAAGAAATTTTCCCAGATTTCAGTTGTACGCACTGGCCTGTATTTGCATATGTGGACGCTTACGTTCCGGTGTGGTTCAGGCTGAAATCCCAGCATCAACATGTGTGAACTTGAGTATGTTGTTCAGGTTCTTTTCGGTACTCTGAAAGGTCCTTCTCCAGGTATGTCTGTTTTCCCCTCTCCTCAAAAACCAACACTTCCAAATTCCAATTTGATCTGGGACACACAGAAAAATGTAAAAGAGTTGTTAATAATTTCTTAGTGTTTTGTGGGTAAGAAAATTATTACAAATTACAATTTCAGGGCCAGTGCTCTGACCACTCAGTCACCATTGTTGTTTTCAACATTGCTGTTTTTCATTTTGCAGGGAGAAAGCCATTTAAAACAGTACTTGCCAATCATAAGAGACAAACCAGTTTATCCCATAATTTTTGATGCCAATGGTGTTGTGCTTTCCATGCCACCCATTATCAATGGTATGGTATGATAATTAGTGGAAGCATAGTGGTCAAGTGTCGGCATGTCAGACTTACACTTCACAATTCGTCCAGCTCTGCCCATATGCTGGATTTGTTCCTGGTCGTCCCGAGTTCAAATCCTTCTCCAAATTTGTATATTATAGTCAACTGGTTGCCTCCTGCCAGCTGGGTTTTTAATCCTGTTATGCTGTATTTGAATTATTTGTTTCTAAAAATTTGAGTGGAGTGCCTGTAAACTAGCTGGATAAGCTGAGCACACTTTCCACTATAAACAAATCCTTAACCATTTTTACCTTTATAATTACCATATTTATTTTCTCAACTGGTACTGCCAGGTCCACAAACCTAAGACTGAAAAAAAGGCTGTTTAGTTGCCATGAGAAAATCCTTTACATTAATGTTTTTACAGATAATTACCATGAAAGTTTTTAAAAAGTATAAGATCAAGTGCCCTCAAACCTCTTTTTAAAATACAGACACCAAAATGACCCAGGTGTCTGTAGTATGGACCAAGAGAACTATCGGTAATAGCTGTCTTGAGTATGAAGAGATGTCTATAATTATTATGCATAGGTGTCCATGGTACATGTATGCGTAGGTGTAGACTGCAGTATGCAGAGGTGTCTGTAGTATCCTGAGGGGTTCATATTGTGCATAGGTTTCCTTGGTATGCAAGGGTGTCCATAGTTTATGCAAAGGTCTGTGTAGTAATGACTTGTATGCAAAGGTGTCCATAGTATGTGAAATGAAGAATGCAGAGGTGTCTGTAGTATGCATATTGTGTTCATAATGGAGAGGTGTCCACAGTATGGAGAGGTGTCCATAGTATGCATATTACATTCATAATGGAAAGGTTCCATAGTATGCTTGGAGAGGTGTCCACAGTATGGAGAGGTGTCCATAGTATGCATATTGCATTCATAATGGAGAGGTGTCCACAGTATGGAAAGGTGTCTATACTATGCAAAGATGTCCGTATTATGCAGAGGTGTTTGAAATAAAGAGGTGTCCAAAGTATGTGGACAGCTCTAATGTATGTCATTAAGGAGAGGTTAAACAAGCACAGCATAAGCAAAGCAAAACAAGCACATACAACAGCCATTCAGCCATATTGGGCAGCAGACAAGTAATATTATTTTGTTCATCCTGCATTGTACTTGAAAGAAAATACTCCGACAAAAGCCCATACCTAATGTATATGTATTTATGGATACATAATGATCTATTTCTTTCAGGTGAACACTCAAAGATAACTCTTAACACACGAAATGTTTTTATCGAAAGCACTGCTACAGATCTGCACAAGGTAACTTTTAGGCTAAATGAAAGCAGGTTTAAGCCGATAGTGTTGCTTGATGACGAAATGTGTTCTATGTACAGTGGTTCAAAATGTGGCCATTGTGGTGGCCATAGTGAGTAGAAAAATGAACTGTGAACACGTCACTGACTAATGATTTTTTTTACCTTTTCAGGCAAAAATTGTCCTGGACACCTTGGTGACCATGTTCAGTGTGTATTGCGATGAGCCGTTTGTGTAAGTTTGCTCTATAATGTAAATTGTAAAATAAACAAAAAATGTTTGTATATATATAAAAGTTTCACTTATCCTAGGAGTGTTCAATGCATAAAATATGCAGAGTGCAATTCAAATGCAAAGGCTGAAAATTAAGTTGTAACTTGGAGTTTCATGTACTAGGTGATGATCGCTTAGTGCCTGGAACTCTGAGTCACAACTTAATTTTCATCCTTTGCATGTTTAGTGTACATTGTACACAGTTGTATGGCTGACTATGTGCATACCAGTGCTTGTACTAAGTCTCATGATTTTCTAAGTGATGAATCCCCTGGTCTCACAATCAGTCTCAGTAGTCTTTGTCCTGGGAAACAGGTTCATAATCCAATGTTCTACAGTGTAGTTTGTTTGCATATTAATGGTTGGCTCACAGAAGTGATATTCTTGTGCAAATTCTACACAAATAATACATAGTAGATATAGCCTTACCATTGCGAGTACTTCTTATTAAATTGGCTGTTTTTTGTTTCTGCTTTTGTTTTGCCTGTTTGTCGCTGTTTTTGTTGCTTCTTTTATCCATGATGTGCACTTGCAGATGAGGAATAATTATTGCTGTTGTTGTTGTTCATACTTGGCATTTAAACCTATTTAATGTATAATTATGTTACAGGTCAAAATTAAATTCAGGTTAAAATTTTTTAATGATTCTTAAATTCCTTTGTCTTCTAACCCTAAATTATGAATAATAAGAGCTAGGCGACAAAGGAAATTGGGAATTAACCTGGTTGAAAAATTTTAAACTTAATTTTATTTTCACCTGTAACATATATAACATAAGCCAGGCAGTGTTAATTGAGAGTTTTTTACAGTGGGGGCAGGAGCACATACATTGTGGCATATTACCTGATGAAGCATTATGCATTTTATTTCTTCCAGGGTGGAGTCTGTGGAAGTAGAAAAGCCCAATGGATCCGTTGTTACTTACCCGGTAGGTTTTATAAAAACTCAAATGGATTTTTGCAGTGCGACCGGGAAAACCACGAACACTTGAAATATCTCAGGAATGTTTATTGTCTTATGGCCAATCACAGCAAAGATCAAGACACGCGAACTGGCCACGAAACCTGCTTGCTGTTTTGTTTTCTCACTCCTTATTGGCTTTTTCTTGCAATGCAATAACATTCCAGAAATATATCTGGTGTTTTACCGGTTTTCCCGGTTTTACTGTAATTAAATACCATGTGCTGACTAAAGAATCGAGAACGGAGAACTTTTCCTTGACCAGCTTGACCAGTATTAAACCATTTCACTCTGCCAAACAATGATTTTTATGGCAAGATTATTGGTACAGTCCTGTGCTGTTGCCATTCAAATAAAATCGCTTTAGCAGAATGTCTGCACAGTGTTATTTCTTAGGATTTTGCCAATAGAGGTTTTAATTTTTTGTTGAATTCTTTTCTTTCGGCTTTATTGGAAGTGAAATGCTTTTGAAAATCGTTTGAATAAGCATGTTCTATCATTTTCCATACAGAGCAATGCAGATGGTCATTCTTATAGAAAGGTGACTAACATGCACAACATTGCATTTTGCAACTGCTGCAATTTTACATTGTGTCTTTTTTTCTTGTGCTCGTAGGAACTGAAGTATCGCCATGAAGTAGTTGAAGTGGACCAAATTAACAAGAAAATTGGAATCAAGTAAGTTATTTATTATGATTATGATTATTATTGTCTATGGGAGATTCTGGTAAACTCCCCAGCTTCCCCTCCCCTAATCCAATTTTATCACTAACTTCTTCTTTGGGGCAAAATGTTGGGTTAGGGAGGGGTGGATGGGCAGATTTCAGGAGCCTATTTCAGACAACGCTACCAACGTACGTGGTAAGGGTAGCAGTTTTCAATATATGTAACCAATGCTGGCACAACATCGCTCTATATTGGGAAGGCATTGGTGACACGGTAGTGTGAACAGTCCTTCTTGTCTCAGTGCACTACCCCAAGAACGTCTGTGTGGAAGGCTAAGGCTCCTTCCAAAAGTCAGAACTGGCAGGCCACACCGGCCATTTTGAAAATGAAATATTAGTCTTCAAGGATTGCAATTTCCAGATTCCTAACTTGTTTGAGGTCTTATTTCTACCGTTTTTATACTATTTAAAATCCTCTCTTAAGTTAATGTAGGACCTGATGCGAGACCCTATCAACAATCATAACAATCGTAACAATTCTATACTTGTTTGTCTTCAGGGAGTCGCCAGAGCGTGTTGCTGATTTGCTGACTCGAATGTGTCTACAAAGTGAGGTCATTGACGGTGGTAAAAGTGTCAGAGTAGAAATTCCTCCAACTAGAGCTGATATCCTTTATTATAACCATTACCACTAAAGTTTTAGCCTTGAGAGACAATTTCTTGCAAAAAAGTTAAAAAATAATTGCGATTTTGTCTAAGCTTTCGAATAGGTGGACAATTGTTCAATGCTATCCAATGGGCCTTCAGGTATCTATTCAGTGGTTAGGCTGCGGTTATTCTATCGGCCGAGAGGATTTGGTGAACTAAATCCTGAATATTTACTTCAGTGCAAATCCACTTGTTACACAGTGTAATTTGCATATGATTGGAATACCGGTATGCACGAGTGCCTAATGTATTAGGGCCCCCAGGTAGGTGAGGTAACATTTGGCCGGTCACCCCACCTATCATGTAAACGTGTTCAAATTAAAATGAGAGATTATATGGACAGGCGGGTTACTTCACCTACCTGGGGTTAGCCTAAGTATCAGGCGCTTCTGGGGGAAAAGAGGAAAGATGGAAGCGAAAAAGGGAGAGAGCCCTCCCCCCTCCCCCATCTAAAATCTCCTCTCCCCTAGCCCCTTAGGAAGGCTTGATACTCAGGCTAGCCTGGGGTCTCCCACCTCCATGTAAACAGGCCCTAAGTCAGGTCTTCGCTCGTCAGTGTTAGTCGCTATTCACACTTACGCAGTAAAGCTGACTTTTTCGGTGTGGTATTGCACAAAGTAAAAAAGACCAACTATGCTCCGTACACAATTTGAATTTGCTTTGATACTAAATGGTGCGTTGTTAGTCCGTGTTACGTACAATGTTGATTTCCTTGACATTGTTTTCACATATCATCCATGAGTGTGATATAATTGAGGACGTAGCTATTTCTCACGGGTTTAATAACATTGTCAAGAGAATACCACCAACGAATACCATTGGAAACCAGGTAACACCTCATGCAGTTAACCATGCTTTAAGATATTCTGTTAAAATAAAGCGTGTTTTTCATCTGGTAATTGGATTTAAAAGCAAGACTGAAACACCTTTGGATAAGTTTGTTGTTGGTTGTGGCGTAGGGAAGTTTCATAGTGAAGCGAAGCCATAGCGCTTTTCATAAGAAATTCTTGGAACCAGAAGACACCAAACATTTTTGTTGGTCACGTGAGCGAGTAAGTAAGCGTACGAGATGACATGTCACATGGTCAAGTGTTACGCTCGTATTTCGCTATAATTTGTCATATTTTTTCTTTTATTTATCCCCCACATTCATGTGGATATAACTAACCTGAGATCAGGCCCAATTTTAGCAGTTCTCATACATTCTCTCTTACGTAGTCGCGCTGCCTTGCCCGCCGGAATGTTATTAGCGACCTTACGATCCGACAACGGCGACGTCCATAAAAACGTCGGTGAAAAATAGACTTCGCATCCTTTTAAACTTTTTCTCGATTATCCCAATTCGCCCTGTTACTTAAAAGAAGGGAATCTTGGTTGGAACTGAAGAGAGGAGACCGCGCCCGGGTTCAGACAGAAATGGTAGAATTCATCGCCTTGCCGGTCCCGTTCTCGAGTAAACTTAAAATTTGGTCATTTCAAGTCGTAGTTGTGCAGGGACAGTAAAGAAATGTACAAAAAAGCGTGATGCACGTGCAGAGTTGTGGTTTTGCTCATTAAACCTATTGCCTTTTTGACGTTCTGTTTGCCGTCGCCGTCGCAGTTTCGTAAGGTCCCTATTTACAAAGCGTAACAAAAATAGAGCCTGGTCTCAGGTTAGGATATAATAGAACAATAACACGCACAAAACACTCAAGTTTACCCTGCGAGGAGAGGTTTCGCTCGCAGGGTACTCAAGTGTTATTTAACATTGGGCCAGGGGCGGGGAAACAAGAAAAACGTAGGTAAAAAGTACATTTTAGAAGCCTTCCGAACATTTTGACGATGATTTTAATTCCAACATTCAGTAGAAAAAACACACATACAATGTTGTTTTTGAGGTCAGTGGCTCTCGAAACGTCAGCTTCTCTCTTTCCCTACGGCGGCCAATCCTCTATCAAATTAGTTCATAAAGCCAAATCTTTGTGTTACCAAATTTATATTTGCTTAGCTTTGTTTATTTCTGTTTATTTGTTTGTACTTGTAGACGTAGATATGTCACTGAATTACTGAGACAATAAACACTTAATAACTGGTCCCGAGGGAAACAGTTGATTTTGTTCCCCAAGGGACCAGTCTTTAAGTGATTTGTTACGTAGCTGGAAATTTTAAACCTGGAAATTCATTAAACCTCGCTGTAACGGCGGTCGTCTGTCAATATTCGCGAGTAGCACTGCGCTGTTACCCTGTGACGTCATAGATTTTGCAATGTTGCCCGCGCACATATTTTGGCGGGAAACGATTTTATTGTTAGACCTCATGTGACCTAGTAGTAACCAATGAGAGCGCGCGCTGTTGAGAAAAAAATTTCCAGCTATATAACAAGATCATCTTAAGTGTTTTAATCAATTCAATTCTATTTCTTCACAGTTCAAATTGAACACACTGTGCGATTTGTTGAGGCAGGAAATAGCTCAGGCTGGATTCACTGAAGTGCTCACTTTTGCACTGGTATAGAAATTTTATCCTGTTCCTTTTTTATCAATCCCTCCCTTGAAAGATAGTTAAGTTAAATCCAGGGTTAAGCAAAGTTTTAACCTGTAATTGGAGCGTGTAAGATATTGTAAAGCCTTTACTCTCAGATACAGGTTGGGTAACACAAAATGATACTCTAAACAAAACAAGAAGGTAAATACAATGAAAATTAGAGTAGCGTTAATTGGCCATTCAGGAATCTTGCCCTGTCCTCCAACAAAATTCATGAAGCCGATGTCATGCGCAGGAGAACTTGTTTGACCCAAAATTACAGTTCGTAACCTGATTGGCTAAAACAAGTGACACTGCTTTTTTAGACAACAAAATCGCGTGACAATACAAAAAACAAAAACAGTTGGAAGAAAACTCGAAAAGATAAAAAAAGGGAAGGAACTATCGGATACCATCAGCACATTTAATGTTTGGTGTCGGTAGTGTATTTAATTGTGACAGGAAGTCCAATAAGTTGTGCCGTCTTGAAGTATTTACGAAGATCGTTCATAACCACTATCAATACGATTATAGGATTCTGATGCGTAATTACAGCGATGATCCGGTGTAAATTGTCGTAAAAAGTAAATAAACCTTTTTTGGATCTTTGAACTGAACCCTTTTTTTCGATCTTCAAAAGGAGGAGGGTCTCAATGGGATTCCGGGATTCGGGATTTCTCTTATTTGAAACTCGGTATTCCGGATTTTCCTTACTTCAAACACTGTCGGGGTTCGGGAATTTTCTTATTTGAAGCTCGGGATTCGGGATTTTCCTTATTTGAAACTCGAGATTCCGGATTTGAGAGTATGCGCGGGAGGTGTAATGCCAAAAAATAACCATTGGGTTTAGTGGATTGCACGAAATTTTGGGTCGGGATTATGGGACTGAAGAACCCTATTGGGGCCCTTCAAAGAGGAGAGAGAATCGCGGTTATTCCAAGGTGATCGTTTTGTTATTTTTAACTGCAGTGTTCTCGTGATGATGTGTCGGAGAAGCTCAAGAAGCCTTTATCGTCATCCAAAGCAGTTCACATATCCAATCCAAAAACGCTGGAATTCCAGGTAAACTAGTTTCCTTTGTTACTTCGATGTTCTAAGTTCCAATAGCCTTGAACGCCTTTGAATAACGCCTACGTACCAGGGCAAAGATATTAGAGAAAGTAAGCATTACGTTTACGTCAAAGGGCAACGTGAATTTGTACCACGTGACCAAGTTTCCTCTTTACTTGTCGTTTATTGTTCATTATTTCTACATTCTCCTAAATTAGTAGTTTCACGCAATTTTTTTTATCCATAAGTCTTGTTTAAGCTGTTTTTATCTGCTCACTTTCTATTTTGTGAAATTTTCAACTTGGATCGAACGTTTGCCGTTTGCCATATACGTGAGGCTTTAAAAACTCTCTATTAGACCACATCAGCCTAAAGCCTTTCTGGCTGACACTTAACACTACGTGAATTAATGCTTAGTTACACTCCTTAATGAAATAAGTGAAATCTGAAGTTCAAGAGTGCAACTCCAACTCGGTTCACTGAGATCTGAGTGATTCACTGAGAGCCATATCCGTGGTGCTAAACGGAGAATCGTTGCCGGGAGTTGTCGACAGGACGAGTGTTTGCGTAACTGCTTAACCATCTACTTTTTTGTTTCACTGTCTAGTTTGAATTTTTCACTCCAAGTGGTGGCCAATTTAACTCAACAAAAAATCAAATTTGCTTTTTGTAAAATCATTTAATGTTAATGGTACTCTTCAAAAGTTCTGCTAACGAGGTTTCATTTGAATGGTAACACCATAGGATTTCATCCACAGTTTGGTCATAAGTAATTACTACGAAGGGGCCTAGACGCGATAAGGAACAGTAGATCCTGTAAACCTCATAAGGTCAAAGGTGTCTAAGGCCCGTTTCAAACGTCGTGCTACTGCCGTGCCGAACTCAATTCATAAATTATAAATACATAAGAATACATTTAAAGGTTTGCTAAACGGTTTCTTTCTTCTTTTTTTTTTTTTCATTTTTGGCAACAGCCGTTCTATTCGACTGAATTAATTTCGACGTCTGAAACCAAGTCGTGCTAGTGTCGTGCTGCAGTCGAGCTACAGTCGAGCCAGTTTAGCACGGCAGTAGCATGACGTTTGAAACAGGTCTTAGGGTCTTTAGGAGCTTGTTAGGCAAATGCTTAGCGCGTAGGAAGTTACCAGACAACAATTACAATTTAATTATTATTTTATTTGTTTATTTTTTTCATTTCTTTCGTCTCTTGTTAACATTAAAGAAATTGTCGTAATGTTTTTTGTTACGATTTCTGCAGGTTGCCAGAACAACACTTATCCCTGGTCTCTTAAAAACGGTCAGTTGTAACAAGAAGATGCCGCTGCCGATGAAACTGTTTGAAATTTCAGATGTGGTGCACAGCGATGAACTAAAAGGTGAGGCTGAACTTGAATAAAGCCGGTTAAAATTGTAGCGAGTGGCTTAGCCTGTGCCACAGACGAAAGTAAACTCTGGTCAAGTCCGTCTGCGAAACAGCGCCGGAATCTTTGTTCTGGGCCCCACCTGTGTACCGGGATTTGAGTACGCGCCATGTTTGGCCTGTTAAAAAAGCCATTTCCCACTTGACAATCAGGTTGAAGGGAAAATCGAAACACATTTCCGGTAATTCATTGAGTCCGTCGGGGGCCCAGAACAAAGATATCGGCGCTGCTTCGTAGACGTTACTAACCGGGGTTAGATTGTTGTGCGACGCAGGCAATAAGTGGCTGTGGAGAGTAGCTGAATTGTATGTGCTTTTGGTGACAAGTGTGGTTACTGTAAGATGTGAATGTGTGTGTTATAGTTGCACTGAGTCATACTCGTGAACTGTCCATTGTAACGTGAATCTGAAGTTTGCTATCAAAATAATTCATTATGCCACCAAGGCTTCAAACGTCTGTTGGCACGGTAGAATTATCTCGATTTTACGAACCCTTAGATTTTCGAAATTCGCGATAATTCCAACCAAACGAGTTCTATGCAGTCAGTTGTTCGCCCGCTTTTGACAAGTGTATTACCATTTCCATTTAGATGTGGGCGCTCGGAATCATCGCCGTTTCTGTGCTGTTAATTACAACAAGACGCCAGGGTTTGAGGTTAGTAGTGATATACATGGTATCATGTCGTATGTTTTGAGAAAGTTTGGTTTGCTCTTCCAGTTTTAACCGCGGCAGGATGAGCTTAGTCGATAAATCGCTTGACCGTAGAGCGGAAGGTCGTGGATACGATTCCCGGGACCCGACCAATACTCAGGGTCTTAATATAACTGAGAAATAAAGGTACTGCCTTTGCCCTGCAAACGGGTTCACCCTCTCGTGGCTCGGACGACCGCATTAAATGGCGGTCCCGTCTCCAGTAGGAGACATAAAGAGTACTTTCGTGCTAAATAAATTGACATTCAAATAATAATGAAATAAAGAGGTTTTTTCTCCTCTTATTTTTGTAGGGTTCGTACGGCTCATAGAAAGCCTGGAAAGCCATGGAATTTAAGAATTTCATTTTCCAGGCATAGAAAGTCACGAAATGTAATAGGCCATGTTCCAGTTTTAAGCTCAGTGCCCTGGCCTTTGAATAGTAGCGAGGCTGGGAAGACCTTGTTTTTACTGCAAACCTTCTTGCTCTCTATGTGCAAATCCTGTTATCCTCATGCGAACAAGCCCGTAAACATGATCATTTATATATGAAAAACAAGAAGGTTTGTAACTGAGCAGTCACCTCTAGCCTTGCTTCTATCCAAAGTCCAGGGCAATGAGCATAAAACTGTAAAATGGGCCATTATCAGCCATGGAAAGTCATCAAAAAGTTGTTTGGTATCTTTTTCTTAGATTCAAGGAAAAAAATAAGACGAGGACAAGTAATTAAACAGCGCGAACGTAACGTGTTTCGGTGGACTCCACAGTTTGTGTCTGTTAAACTGGGTTATGTAAAAAATACAAAAAACTTGGGTAAGTTTTCAAAATCTCCGAAAGTGACAGCCAAAGCTAAGGTCATGGAGAACTTGAGAAGGTTATGGAAAAAGCTTTGGGAAAGTCATGAAATTTGAAGAGCTCAAAGGAGTACGAACCCCGTTTTTTTTTAGCCGTTTTAAACAGCGTTGTTATGGAATGAGCAGCTTTTAAAGTCCGTTCACTGTCAATAGGGAGATTTGAAGTAACACAAGCGATTTAATTGTTCTTTTAAAGGTTATCCACGGTCTGTTGGACCGCACGATGCAGCTTCTTGAAGTACCATACACAGAAGATAAAACCTCTACTCATGGATATTACTTGAAAGCTCATGAAGGTATTTTTGTGATATGTGCTAGAACTTCCACTAATCTTTTCTGTTTATCAACGAGAATGCTTACGACCACACTATACCATATTATACCCGATAGCACGAAAAACCGTACCGGTATAGGTGAACATTGCCTTACTCAAAGACTTGTAATAAACTGAAATCTTATCTCCGGTGAAACCATAATTGATCTCTAACGTTTCAACGACGACTGTTTAAGCATATTGTCCTGAAGCTTTTGCACCTGTCTCAAGGGCTTGATCAGTAAATATACATAATGTAAATGTAAGTGTAAATGTACAAAGCTTTGTCAAATGGCCATGAAAGTGAGATCTTTACTTTATGAATTAGCCATTGTTCAGGGTTATGCAAACCATTAAAAAGACTTACACCAGTCCTGCTAGGAATTAGCCATAACTCGATACCCTCCACACACGGGCCATAGGTGGGGTTTCGCGCTGGATTTTTCGTGTTACTCTTGCGAGATGTGACAACCCAGCCGGAGTAATAATTGCATCAAAGATAATTTTCAGGAATCGTTCAGACCAAGAAGCTATTGCAAAGCTTGTTTAAAGTGAAAAGAGCATCAAATCTTTGCATTGTACGTAAACGTAGTTATTTCTGCTCTGGTAATGTATCACTGTTGGTAAATTGATTGATTGGCTGGTTGATTGATTGATTGGATGAGTGATGGATGGATGGATGGATGGATGGTGAATTGAATGATTGAAGGAATGATTAAGTGATTGATTGAGTGATTGATAGATGGATGGATGATTGGTTGAGTAATTAATTGATTGAATGATTGATTGATGGAGTGATAGAAGGATTGATTGATGGAGTGATTGGTGGATGGATGAAAGATGGATGGTGGATTGATTGATTGGTTGATTGACTGATTGGTTGGTTGATGACTGACTGATTAAGTGATTGATTGATTGATTGTATTATCGATTGAATGATTGATTAACTGATTAATTAAGTGAATGATTGACTGACTGACTGATTGATTGATTCTTCGATTGATTGATTGATTGATTGATTGATTGACTGAGTAGTTGGCTAGTTGATTGCTGATTAGTAAACTGTTTACATGATCCTTCTTTTTTCAGATGAAACCTTCTTCCCAGGTCGTTGTGCGCAGGTCATCGCCAACGGAAAGCCAATAGGAATTATACAAAAGTTCTGCTAACGAGGTTTCATTTGAATGGTAACACCATAGGATTTCATCCACAGTTTGGTCATAAGTAATTACTACGAAGGGGCCTAGACGCGATAAGGAACAGTAGATCCTGTAAACCTCATAAGGTCAAAGGTGTCTAAGGCCCGTTTCAAACGTCGTGCTACTGCCGTGCCGAACTCAATTCATAAATTATAAATACATAAGAATACATTTAAAGGTTTGCTAAACGGTTTCTTTCTTCTTTTTTTTTTTTTTCATTTTTGGCAACAGCCGTTCTATTCGACTGAATTAATTTCGACGTCTGAAACCAAGTCGTGCTAGTGTCGTGCTGCAGTCGAGCTACAGTCGAGCCAGTTTAGCACGGCAGTAGCATGACGTTTGAAACAGGTCTTAGGGTCTTTAGGAGCTTGTTAGGCAAATGCTTAGCGCGTAGGAAGTTACCAGACAACAATTACAATTTAATTATTATTTTATTTGTTTATTTTTTTCATTTCTTTCGTCTCTTGTTAACATTAAAGAAATTGTCGTAATGTTTTTTGTTACGATTTCTGCAGGTTGCCAGAACAACACTTATCCCTGGTCTCTTAAAAACGGTCAGTTGTAACAAGAAGATGCCGCTGCCGATGAAACTGTTTGAAATTTCAGATGTGGTGCACAGCGATGAACTAAAAGGTGAGGCTGAACTTGAATAAAGCCGGTTAAAATTGTAGCGAGTGGCTTAGCCTGTGCCACAGACGAAAGTAAACTCTGGTCAAGTCCGTCTGCGAAACAGCGCCGGAATCTTTGTTCTGGGCCCCACCTGTGTACCGGGATTTGAGTACGCGCCATGTTTGGCCTGTTAAAAAAGCCATTTCCCACTTGACAATCAGGTTGAAGGGAAAATCGAAACACATTTCCGGTAATTCATTGAGTCCGTCGGGGGCCCAGAACAAAGATATCGGCGCTGCTTCGTAGACGTTACTAACCGGGGTTAGATTGTTGTGCGACGCAGGCAATAAGTGGCTGTGGAGAGTAGCTGAATTGTATGTGCTTTTGGTGACAAGTGTGGTTACTGTAAGATGTGAATGCGTGTGTTATAGTTGCACTGAGTCATACTCGTGAACTGTCCATTGTAACGTGAATCTGAAGTTTGCTATCAAAATAATTCAATATGCCACCAAGGCTTCAAACGTCTGTTGGCACGGTAGAATTATCTCGATTTTACGAACCCTTAGATTTTCGAAATTCGCGATAATTCCAACCAAACAACTTCTATGTAGTCAGTTGTTCGCCCGCTTTTGACAAGTGTATTGCCATTTCCATTTAGATGTGGGCGCTCGGAATCATCGCCGTTTCTGTGCTGTTAATTACAACAAGACGCCAGGGTTTGAGGTTAGTAGTGATATACATGGTATCATGTCGTATGTTTTGAGAAAGTTTGGTTTGCTCTTCCAGTTTTAACCGCGGCAGGATGAGCTTAGTCGATAAATCGCTTGACCGTAGAGCGGAAGGTCGTGGATACGATTCCCGGGACCCGACCAATACTCAGGGTCTTAATATAACTGAGAAATAAAGGTACTGCCTTTGCCCTGCAAACGGGTTCACCCTCTCGTGGCTCGGACGACCGCATTAAATGGCGGTCCCGTCTCCAGTAGGAGACATAAAGAGTACTTTCGTGCTAAATAAATTGACATTCAAATAATAATGAAATAAAGAGGTTTTTTCTCCTCTTATTTTTGTAGGGTTCGTACGGCTCATAGAAAGCCTGGAAAGCCATGGAATTTAAGAATTTCATTTTCCAGGCATAGAAAGTCACGAAATGTAATAGGCCATGTTCCAGTTTTAAGCTCAGTGCCCTGGCCTTTGAATAGTAGCGAGGCTGGGAAGACCTTGTTTTTACTGCAAACCTTCTTGCTCTCTATGTGCAAATCCTGTTATCCTCATGCGAACAAGCCCGTAAACATGATCATTTATATATGAAAAACAAGAAGGTTTGTAACTGAGCAGTCACCTCTAGCCTTGCTTCTATCCAAAGTCCAGGGCAATGAGCATAAAACTGTAAAATGGGCCATTATCAGCCATGGAAAGTCATCAAAAAGTTGTTTGGTATCTTTTTCTTAGATTCAAGGAAAAAAATAAGACGAGGACAAGTAATTAAACAGCGCGAACGTAACGTGTTTCGGTGGACTCCACAGTTTGTGTCTGTTAAACTGGGTTATGTAAAAAATACAAAAAACTTGGGTAAGTTTTCAAAATCTCCGAAAGTGACAGCCAAAGCTAAGGTCATGGAGAACTTGAGAAGGTTATGGAAAAAGCTTTGGGAAAGTCATGAAATTTGAAGAGCTCAAAGGAGTACGAACCCCGTTTTTTTTTAGCCGTTTTAAACAGCGTTGTTATGGAATGAGCAGCTTTTAAAGTCCGTTCACTGTCAATAGGGAGATTTGAAGTAACACAAGCGATTTAATTGTTCTTTTAAAGGTTATCCACGGTCTGTTGGACCGCACGATGCAGCTTCTTGAAGTACCATACACAGAAGATAAAACCTCTACTCATGGATATTACTTGAAAGCTCATGAAGGTATTTTTGTGATATGTGCTAGAACTTCCACTAATCTTTTCTGTTTATCAACGAGAATGCTTACGACCACACTATACCATATTATACCCGATAGCACGAAAAACCGTACCGGTATAGGTGAACATTGCCTTACTCAAAGACTTGTAATAAACTGAAATCTTATCTCCGGTGAAACCATAATTGATCTCTAACGTTTCAACGACGACTGTTTAAGCATATTGTCCTGAAGCTTTTGCACCTGTCTCAAGGGCTTGATCAGTAAATATACATAATGTAAATGTAAGTGTAAATGTACAAAGCTTTGTCAAATGGCCATGAAAGTGAGATCTTTACTTTATGAATTAGCCATTGTTCAGGGTTATGCAAACCATTAAAAAGACTTACACCAGTCCTGCTAGGAATTAGCCATAACTCGATACCCTCCACACACGGGCCATAGGTGGGGTTTCGCGCTGGATTTTTCGTGTTACTCTTGCGAGATGTGACAACCCAGCCGGAGTAATAATTGCATCAAAGATAATTTTCAGGAATCGTTCAGACCAAGAAGCTATTGCAAAGCTTGTTTAAAGTGAAAAGAGCATCAAATCTTTGCATTGTACGTAAACGTAGTTATTTCTGCTCTGGTAATGTATCACTGTTGGTAAATTGATTGATTGGCTGGTTGATTGATTGATTGGATGAGTGATGGATGGATGGATGGATGGATGGTGAATTGAATGATTGAAGGAATGATTAAGTGATTGATTGAGTGATTGATAGATGGATGGATGATTGGTTGAGTAATTAATTGATTGAATGATTGATTGATGGAGTGATAGAAGGATTGATTGATGGAGTGATTGGTGGATGGATGAAAGATGGATGGTGGATTGATTGATTGGTTGATTGACTGATTGGTTGGTTGATGACTGACTGATTAAGTGATTGATTGATTGATTGTATTATCGATTGAATGATTGATTAACTGATTAATTAAGTGAATGATTGACTGACTGACTGATTGATTGATTCTTCGATTGATTGATTGATTGATTGATTGATTGACTGAGTAGTTGGCTAGTTGATTGCTGATTAGTAAACTGTTTACATGATCCTTCTTTTTTCAGATGAAACCTTCTTCCCAGGTCGTTGTGCGCAGGTCATCGCCAACGGAAAGCCAATAGGAATTATGGGTGTCCTACACCCGGAAGTCGTCCAAAACTTTGAATTAAACCTGCCATGCGCAGTACTTGAATTGGACGTGGAGGAATTCCTCTGAAAAACAATTTAAATAACATCTCGCAAGTGTTAAAAGATGTAGGTCAATTTTTTTCGACATGTATTTTTGTGTCACTAATATGTTAGGGATCTTAAAAGTGAAACATTCCCCTGCGGCGTCATCTCTTCTAAGCACCAGCATTAATCAAGACAGTTCTTGTGTTTACACTTTTCATACAACGGTAACCACTATTCTACAGCTGCCCTGTATGTGTATTGGCGGTCTTTAGAGAGTTTAAGCATCGTGTATACGGCAAACGACAACTGTCAGATTCAAGTTGAGAATTTCTCAAAATAGAAAATGAGCAGATAAAAAGAGCTCAAAACGATTCTTATGCATGGATAAAAAAAAATTGCGTGAAACTACTAATTTTTTTGTTGAAATAATGAACAGTAAGCGACAAGTGAAGGTGAAACTTGGTCACGTGGGACAAATTCGCGTTTGCCGTTACACGTAAACGCAGGGTTTTTACAGGTCATGGAAAACCTGGAAAGTCATGAAATTTAAGAATTTCATTTTTCTTAAATTTAATTTTTCAGGCCTGGGAATTCATAGAATTTTGAAAATTATCGGTCCTTGAAAGTTTTGTTTGGTAGTTTAGTTACTTCTGATAACAAAGCAAGGACAATGTAAGGTAGAGAGAAGCACCTAATCAGCGCAAACGGCACGCATTTTGGTGGTCACCAGAGTCGAACTGTTTAAAGTCAAAAAATACCGTAAAACATGGAAAATTTTAAAGTTTTTTTGAAATGACAGTTAAACCTAAGATCTTGAAAACTTGAGAAGGTCATGAGAGAAGCCATGGAAGGTCATGGAAATTAAGGAGCTCAAGAGAGAACGAACCCTGAAACGTGATGCTTATACTCTGTATTTTTTCTTGATGTTGTGGATGGGTACAATCACCAAATGTTATAAAAGAGAACATCTGAAGATCTTTTTTTTATTGGTCGCATTCTTTTAATGTTGGGAAATGTCGCTTGTAACCAAGGGGGTTTCTTTGGGGGGTTGGGAGGGGGGGGGGGAGTGGGTGGTCGGCCTTTTTTGGGGTGAAACGAAAAAATTCCAATAGGGGTGTTTTGCCCTTTTCCCGAACTAAAGGTGTCTGTCGTAAACCCCCCCCCCCTTTCCCCCGCCCCTTATTTTTTTTGCGAGGTAAAGAACATATATCCTTGGCAGCTTCTCAGCAAATTGTGGAGCTAAGTGGGAGCCTGTCAGTTGACTTCGGGTAAGCCTGTCTAAAAAATTCGAGTGGCTCCCCCTGATACCACGGCCACATTTTTCTCTGTGAGAATGTGTTTTTATAAGTGGACAGTTTCATATATTTGGTAAAGGTTTATCTATTCAAAGTAAAAAAAAAGTTCTTTAAATACATTAGCACAAGCATAGCAACTAAAACACCACCTAAAAGGGCATCAACCACTTTGTCCTATATCACGCGAAGGCTTCCGCTGGTTCTTGTAAAACTAATCTCCGCTTTTGTGAGAATCCCGCTACATTCAATAAGCATTCCTAGTTCAAGTAGTCAACATTTTTTTTTGTCAAAATAGAATTTCTTCACGTAAAAATAACAATAAGAATTAGGAAAATAAGATTTTCTTAATTTATATCAACACATTTTTTGAATATTTGGTCACTGAGATTACTTTATTTTCTGTCTAGATTACAGATGAGTTATCTGTCGAAAGAAATTTGCAACGATCAGTCTTGTCGCAGACCGGCAAAGATAAGAATTCCACGGAAAAGAGCAGACCACCAGGTTCGTTGTAGAATAATAACACTAAAAATGCAAAATATAAAGTTAGGAGCCCTGATAAACTGTTGGCTCATAGGCCGTCCCAAAAACCCTCACTTTCAAAATGAGGCCAAGTGCACGAGCTTTCCTACAAAAATGAGTTCTATTTGCATGAGAATGATAAATCATTTCCAATCAAATGCTGAACACTTAACCTCGTTTTGATACGGAGGCCTGAGCGAACTCGGAAATGGCCTATTCAACGTGGGTCAATTATGCTAGCTACTGGCGTTGCTAGCCAGCATGGTCTAAGATGGGTGGGAAGCTCGTAATTGGTGGTTCAAAACTAGTCTGTATCACTTAGACAAGAAAAGTGGAATTTTGGCCAATTTATCTAAAACCCAGACAAGTTGTCCGTCTGACAACAGGGATTTCCGTATAGGATGAACGCTTATTAGTTTATCACTCCTTCAATTGAGGAGTATCCGAACACCTTAGAGATTGGAACTACGTGTCCCGGCTTAGAGAGATGTCAGTCTTTATATAGAGTCAACTAAAAGGATTCGAAAAAGGCAGGCCAACTCTTGGTGTCCATTTCAGCGAGATGCGTTTTAATGACCTGTTTATAGAGGGAAATTCAGCAGTAACTCCTTAGGTACAGCCCTCTGATGCAAAAAAACAAAACAAAACAAAAAAACAGCAGCATTTCTATGAAGTAAGGAAATGTTCCATTATATTGCCCTGCAAGTAGTGGAGATGAGTTCGCGCTTGGGAAACTAAAAAAGACGTTCTCAAAAGACGGTTCTCGCACTTTTTAAATCAATATTCAATCTTACACTGTAAGTGCTTAGAATATATAACTCAACATACTATAGCCTGTTCCAGTCTTTCAGAGACTGGAGTGTTGCAAGAAATACATAGCGGAGCAAGGGATTGAACGAGGGGCGGGGGGGGGGGGGGGAGAAGGGGGGGGAGGGGGGTTTATCCCCCCCTTCCCGGGCCTTTCCCCCCCAGGCGGGAAAGGGTCGGCTGGGGGAACGGGGTAGTTTCTGGGGGCTGCCGGTCTCCAACAAAAAAAACAATGTAGCATCACC